AGCTATATCTCTAACCCTAGAACCATCTTATAAAACTGATATCCTAAACTCATTTTCATCTTTCAAAACTGAAATCCACTACCCACTGAGCAACATTTTCTCCTCTCCCTTCTTCTGGTAGTCACCATTCTACTTTCGATTTCTTTGAGTTTGACTACTTTATATACCTTATATAAGTATAATTGTGTAGTTTTTATTTTTTTGTGAGTGGCTTGCTTCACTCAGCATAATGTCCTATGGTTTATCCATGTTGTAACATGTGATATTATTTCTTCCTTTAAGGCTAAATAATAATCCATTGTATGTATATATTATGTTGTCTTTATCCATTCATTTGTCATTGAGTACTTGAATTGCTTTCATCTCTTACATGGTTCAACCTACTCTTTATGCATCATGGTCCAATTCAAATGCCATCTCCTCCATGGCCTCCATCATCATTCAACCAAAAGGAATTATTCTTTCCTCTAAACTGTTATTTTATTTGTATCCTTCATAGTAAATATATAAGTTTCTACCTTGCAAGTAAATACTTCCTACCATGGAAAATTCCGTAGAACAAATCTCTGGCTAATTTGTCTTTGTATAGTAATTCTTCCTGATCCATGATTTCACTTTCCTTGGTTTTACTTATCGTTGGTCAACTGTGCTATGAAAATATTAAATGGAAAATCCCAGAAATAGACAATTCACAAGTTTTATTAGTACATGTTTATAGTACATAATGTTTACATTCTTTGTGGGGAGTTGATACACGTACATAACACATCTTAATTCCTTTTTTTATCCTTATTCTTCCCTTCTCTCCTCCTTCTCTGCTGTTCTGAATAGCATGATGAAATCTCTATCACACCAAGGATGTGATGCATCCCTTTGTCCAGTGTATCTATACTGTATAAACGACCGCCTATTGGCAATTGAGAGGCCACATTCATATAACTTACAGTATATTATTATTATTATTATTGTATTTTATTACTTGTTGTTAATCTCTTACTGTACCTAATCTATAAATGTTACCATAGGTATATATAGGAAAAAACATAGTATATATAGTGTTCAGTACTACCTGAGGCCTCAGTCATCCACTGAGAGTCTTGGAACATAAGACTATCAGATGGAGAAGGTATACTGTCAACTTATCAGTACCAAAAAACTAGTAAACTAGTCAGTTTAAGTGAAAAGAAGTTACAGATTTCTCTTTATTGTAGTAAAATTTCAGTTGGGTGATTATGACATAAAATTTGCCATTTTGAGTGTACGGTTTTATGCCATTTAGTATATTTATATTATGCTACAGATTTTATTTCTGACTCGGCTTTTGCCTTCTCATATAAATGGGGCCAGCATACTTGTTTTGGAGGGAACTCCAAGGGGATTTGTGCAAGAAAAAGGTAGTATTTCTGAAGTAGAGTTTTGTGTCTCAGTAGAATATTACATAAACTTGTCTTTTAAAAATTTTTCCTCTTATTTTGTGGAATGTCCTACCTCATCATCCCTCTTTCCTTCTCTCCTTTTCTTTCTTTTTTTGTAGGGGGCGGTACCGGGGATCGAACTCAGGATCTGGCGCTTGAGAAGCAGGTGCCAGAACCACTGAGCTAAATCCCTGGCCCATTCTCTACCTTTCTTTAGAGATGTTCTCTATAAATTATTGTAAATTTCTGCCATAATCAGTCTCTTTTCAAACTTGCTGTGATAGCTTAGGTATATATTTTTTGGATTACAACCATTTAACAGATCTCCCTATAGTATGAGTTGTGAATAACTCTGAAACATTCAGCAGAATGGATAAGGGAAATGATGCATCACAATGCTAATCTTGGTGTCTTGGCAGACTAACATTAACATGAATTTTTAGCTCTTGAGGATGAAAAATAGCTTCAACATTCACAGTCATCTTTAATAAATGTCGAGCATTTAAACACTTTTAGTGTATGTTATGGAAGAGCTTGTTCAGAATTTTCTAAAGGTTTATACAGGGAGGACCGGGGATTTAGCTCAGTGGTTTCGCCTCCTGCTGTGCAAGCGCAAGGACCCGAGTTCGATCCCCAGTACCACAAAAAAAAGGTTTTTACAGGGAATTCATGTCCTTTTAAGGAGAACATTAAATATAAATGATGATTTCCAACTGAAAGCGATAGAAAAATAACAGAAGTGTTATGTGGATGGCCCCTGACTTATGCTGATTCAGCTTGTAATTTTTCAGCTTTACCGTGGTGTGGAAGCAATTCACATTCAGTAGAAATTACACTTTGAATTTGGGGTTTTTATCTTTTCCTAGGTTACTAACACATGGTGTAGTATGCTTTTGTGATGCTGGGCAGTGATAGTGGGCCAGGCTCACAAGGCAGCCATGTGACAAGGAGGATAAACAGTTGATACACTGTACTGTGTCACTAAACTGTGATGTTCTTTAGGTTAAGGGCATTAAATGCATTTTTGACATACTTATTTTATGATGGATTTATTGGGATATAATCTCCTTGTAAGTCAAGGGATATGTGAATTAATTACAGGTTTCTTTAACTCCGTACCATTTTGCTTGATTAACTTTCTGTATTCATAGTTTCTTGGTAGATTTTCCTCGTAGCCATGAATATAGTATATTGTAATATTTCATGCTCATAAATGTCAAGAGATCTAAAAGCTAAGGTAACAGCACCCTTTTGTATAGATCAGAAATTTCGAGACTTATGCTAGTGGATGTGAATGTGTATATTATTATGTATTAGACTTTCTGAATGTTTATTATAAAACACATAATGGGCCGGGGATTTAGCTCAGTGGTTCCAGCACCTGCCTCACAAGCTCAAGGACCCGAGTTTGATCCCTGATACAAAAAACAAACAAACAAAAAAAACACATAATGTGTGATGAGACCAATTAATTAAACAGAGTGAGCTAGAAGATTTGAGATCTGGTTTACCTTTCTGCATATTATTAGACTTGATCTTCCACCAATGTTTTAATTTGTTCTTTTTGAAGGATGTTGAGGGTAAAATGTGGATAATGCATCAAAATGATTTGTTATTTTTATGTGAGTAACTATAATCTGTTTATCACAATAATGATTCAGTCTTATAATGTGCAACCTAATATGTGCTCCCTTAAACATAATCCCTTTAATTAGTGTAGAGATTTTTTAAAACCTTTAGATGTATTTGTGATGATTTTTTCCAATTGTTTTAGTTGGTCACCAGCATTTTCCTCTTCCACAAGAGCAAAAACAGAGCTGTATGTCAAACGTCTGTCCTGTTAACAGTGTAGTGATTACATTAAATGGGTGTAAGCCTATAAACATCTACATAGTGCTTGGAGCATAAGATATACTCAGTAAATACAAATTCTTCCCCTCCATTTTCAAATAAGGTCATTTGCTGAATGATTCCTGCAGCCTGTGCTGGTGTTGTGGATCTTTAGGGAGAATGAAAAGGCTTGATGTGTGCTTCTTGAGAAGAATGGTGAGCTAGGCAGACACCAAAACTCCCTGGTCATTTCTCAAAAAAAAAGACGAAGCAAGAAAGTTCTAAGTGATCCATATACAAAGGACTCTCCTTAGCCATTATATTCCATTGTTACAGAACTTCATTTAAGTCATAAGCAAAATCAGTAAACAAAGTAGGGTTTAGATCATAAAATAGTCACCACTTTTACTGAATTCTTGTGCCATCTGTTCTACAGAGAAAGGAATAGGCAGCTATTGCTTGTGCTAGGGAAGGAGCTCAAAGCTAGGTGACTGTCTCAGTTTGCCTGATAAATTACATGATCAAGCCACTAATGTGGAAGATGGTATTAAGTGGATATAACTGAGGGCAGGGAGACCTGAATTTGTTTCGGAATGGACGGAAGAGACTTTTCTAAGGAAGTGCCTCTGTAAAGAAACCTGAAGAACCAGAAAGAAGCATTGATGAAAAAGTTCATGCTGTCATTCACATCAGGGTCTTTGTGTACTGCCCCTGTCCCCTCTGGCTGGAAGGGGAAAAAGATGGTAGCAATCTGTGAGTTAGGAAATTAATTTTTGAGTAGTAATCTTTTAAAAATGTATGTATAGTAGAATATGGATAGTATTCTATATGTATATAATATGTATATATAGTTGAAAATATTGAGTATATTGTGCATAGTAAGATAATAAAATATGAAAATCTGTATATCATGTATGTACATGTTCACAGTAGAAAGTATATTTCTTATTATAGATCATGGTTAAAATATCTTAGAAATATTTTGTTTAGAACAGTAGGAATGAAATCACACTAATATCTTGACTTCCTTGTATATGATTGCATTTTCAATTATTTAATATTTAGAGAAAAGGAAAAGAATAGGAACAATGGCTCCAGTTGAGAAAGGACTAGATTATTCAAGGCCTTGTAAGATAAATAGAAAGTGAACAGTGTTAGATGTTTCTTATTTGGCCATCATTTTATTTTTATCATGACTAAATATGAAGAGACTTTGAGAACTAGGATTAAATAAGGCCTTTCTGACAAACGCTGCTATACTCCTTTAATAAACATTTAACATACTCTCATCTGAAATGTAGGTTTAATAATGCCTCATGGAGTTACTGTGAACAATAAATGAGTTTATCTGTGTTATGTATGCACTCAACATGTTTCAGTGACTTTATTTTTACCTTCACCTGTTTAGACCCCACACCCTAAAAAGAAGATGCTTTGTTTTGAAGATAATGTTAGTTATAAATCCTAGAAGAAATAAGAATTACAGCTAACTTATTTTCTTTATATTTGAAAATACTACTCTCATTTTTTTAAATGCCAGACTGTTTCTATAGAAGAGTATGATGTTGACATAATTCTGAAATTGTGAGGTTATATCCTAATTTAAAAATAAGTCAACATAGAATTCTATCTTTCCTTCCCCTGCCCTCAAATGTGATACTATTTGTCTAGTCATGTGGGTTTTTTTTAAAAGTAGAGAATGCCATCATGGAGTAAATTTCCACTTACTTCTACTAGTTTCCCTCCCTCCTTTAGATTTCATCACCCAATCCTCAGTCCTTTGGAGAGCAGTTTCCAGCTGGAAGTCGATGTCTTGAGTCATCTCCTGAAGGCCCAGGCTCAGGTCTCGGAGTGGAAGTTCCTCCCTTCCCTGGTTAACTTGCACAGCGCTCACACCAAGCTGCAGACCTGGGGCCAGATCTTTGAAAAGCAGCGAGAGACCAAGAAACATTTGTTTGGAGGGCAGTCGCAGAAGGCTGTTCAGCCCCCACACCTTTTCCTTTGGCTGATGAAACTCAAAAACATGCTCCTGGCCAAGTTTAGCTTTTACTTTCACGAGGCACTGAGCCGACAAACTACTGCTTCAGAAATGAAAGCGTTGACTGCAAAAGCTAACCCAGACCTTTTTGGAAAGATTTCCAGCTTCATCAGGAAATACGATGCTGCCAATGTGTCCTTAATTTTTGACAACCGAGGTTCAGAGAGTTTTCAGGGTCATGGTTATCATCACCCCCACTCCTACAGAGAGGCCCCTAAGGGCGTGGACCAGTACCCAGCCGTGGTGTCTCTGCCCAGCGATAGGCCTGTCATGCACTGGCCCAATGTCATCATGATCATGACAGACCGCACATCTGACCTGAACAGCTTGGAGAAAGTGGTCCACTTCTATGATGACAAAGTTCAGAGCACCTACTTCCTAACCCGCCCAGAACCTCATTTTACCATTGTGGTCATTTTTGAGTCAAAGAAATCGGAGAGAGACTCCCACTTTATTTCCTTCCTTAATGAGCTCTCACTTGCTCTAAAGAACCCCAAAGTTTTTGCAAGTCTAAAACCTGGATCCAAAGGTTAGCAGGTGACTTGTGTGAAAGATTCTCAAAACTAGGAATTGTTTTTAATGGCTGTGATGATCTACAGTGGTCTGTGATTAGAATTTACATCCACTCATGCTTCTCTCAGAGTTAAATTGAAGGCAAATCCTCCCTAATTGTGTTGCACACTTTATAAGTAATTAAGGCCAATTGAAGTAAGGCCAAAAGTAATCTAGGAAATGATCATGGGTTGCTGTATGTATGCATGGTAGAGCAAAGTAGTTTTGGTATTTTCTCCTATTTTCCTGTAATTCATTTAGACTAGTGGTCTTTGATCTTTCCTTTCAGATGATTTTTATTATTCTGATTATTATGTTTTAATGCATTTCCAAACACCTCTCTCTTCCCTACTTTCCTGGAAGAGTAATTGGGATAAGATATTAAATGAGTATGTTTCCTGTCTTTTAAATTAGCCAGTTAACATGGAGCTTTTAGTTTTATAATCTGATATACAAATTAATATTTTGATGCCACATCATGTTTTAACAGTTCAAAGACCTTCATGGCAGATTTAATGGCCAATAGCTTCTTTCAGAGTGAAAGAACTAACACATATTTTTTTACCATTATAAGGTGAAGAGTTTTTCACTGTCAGCATAAGCCATTTTATGGGTTTCCTCATTCTTCAGCATATTATCTCCTTTAATTTCTGTTTATCACCGTCCTGTTGAAATATAAGTTCATGTTTGACTCTCCTTCTGGTTAATTTTGGGCTTAGAAAGCATGCAGTCTTGGTTTTTCAGTCACTTGTAGTTTGTCACACAACAGAGCCTACTTTTATAAAATCAAAATGAAAGTCTTTTGATACCTTGCACTTGCTAAAAATCAGTTGTGCTTTAAAAAAGAGCTCTTTGTAGTTGAGTAATCAACTCAGTACCTATGCACATTTGAATTTGGGTTTCTGTGTTCCACCCTAGCCTGCCTTACCATTTTCCTGTAGTAGGTGTTCATGGGGAAGTAGGCAGATCAGTGAAGACATCAAAGTCTATGAAGACCTTCACTTCTGTCATTGTTCAGAGTAACAATAGCCACAGAGAATAACTGAATCGTTACTACTTGATAGTTCCTTCAAAGCTTCTGTGAAATGTAAAGGCCAGATCAGTCTTGTTTTTCAAGATCCCATGGACCATTATTTGAGGGTCCATAGCAGGGAAGGAGGGAATCAGCACAGCTGAGACTCAGCATGGGAGGCCCGCCTGCCTCACCTAGACTACCTGGTAGAGAAACCCACTGGCCTCTTTTCTGGAGAGAACATGTATCTTTCTTTTCTTTATTTCTCTCTCTTTTTCATCATATTATTTGTAAAAAGCTAGTTTACTTTAAATAGAAAGTAGTGTTTACATCTGCATTGTATTCACTCAAGTTTTATAAAAATATGAATATATTTTACATTGATCTAACATAAAAGTTGAAAACAATGGTACTAAAGAGTCAAATAGTTTTTCCTCCCTTTTGTATTTTGCCAAGAAACTGAAAAATGTTCCTTGGTGTGTATGTATCTTTCTTTTCCTAGGTAAAACCACCATTAGCCTTAATGATAGGGTTCCCATGTATCTAAAAGAATATATGCTTCAGGGCCCAGGATTTAGCTCAGTGGTTCCACTGCCTGCCTCACAAGCACAAGGACCTGAGTTCTATCCCTGGTACCAAAAAAAAAAAAAAAAGAATACATGCATCAGTGGAACACAGAGAGGAATGTAAATAAAACATACATACAATACTTAAGCAGTCAAATATATACATATTTGAATTGTATATTTATTTTTAAATGTATTTTTAAAATAAACACAATTTACAATGGACAGATGGTAGATGTGACTATTAAAATCTAAGAACATAAATTCATAATTTGCTGTGCAGCTGTCATAGTCTATTGATGGAGTCTTTGAAGATTAAGTATTGATACTTTAATCATTTCTTAAACTCTTCAATAAAGTTTTCTAATTATATTAAAAAGACATATTTTGGTTCAAAACATAAAGTCATTTTTACTCTTAAGATTTATCCTCTAAGGACAGTAATGAGATGATGTGTAATGCCTGTGTTTAACTAATTTGAAGAGTAAATGTGTACATTCTCTGCAGACTGCCTACTTTGAAATTTGTTTCTAAACTACAGCCTGATAAATGTTTCTGGGTAACTGGGAGTAGCAGTCAACACTGACTCTGCCAGAGTCCTTCAAGGAGTGTTTGACTTCAGGGTGCTGTTTTGACACAGGATGAACATTTACAACTTTGTCTCCTCATCAGTTCAACCTGGAATCTGATATGTTATTTTTTGGGGGAGTGTGTGAAAATAAAGCCAAGAGAAATCAGTGTTCTATATAGAACTGATTTGGACATTTTGGGGAAGTTTGCTTTCAAGAAAGAAAATAATTGATACTTCACTGTCCTCCCTATGGAATCACTTAGGTGATCTTTATAATATGTCCACACTGATCTAGTAGCAAGTTAGCCTGAGTTCAATTTCCCTGTCTTTAAAATGGGAATATAAAAGTATACTCCTTTTTCAAAGGCTACTGTAAGACTGTAATGAAATCATGCATACAAAAAAGGGTTTGAAAACTTGCTGGGGTTTGAAAGCTGTATAAATAAAAGATGAAGCCACTCTTCCCTTAAACTTGACACCTCTCCTGTTTTTTCTTTGTTTGTGGCAAACCTGTGGTTAGTCATGAATCTGAACAGTTCTTAAAGAACTGGTTTAGAAGATACATACATCTAAATGCCAAACCTACCCACCCACTCTTCCTATTTTAGAATCTTTGTCATTCTTTGTTCCCATTTTTTATGGTTGGTTGACAGCATCATTTCTTTTTTTTTTTATTGATACATTTTAGGTAAACAATATAATGACATTCATCATTGGAAATTTGCACCTTTACAAAATCTCTCTTGGTTCTTATTTTTCCCCCTTCCCCTGCCCTCCCTTCAACCCCTCCATCCCTCCCTATTTACAAAGACTTTATTTAC